TAACGTCGTTTAGCAAATCGCATAAGTAGAAAAATAAGTTTTTGAATCGAAAACAGGAACTTCTGTTTGATTAAGACAATCTCTAATCGTTTTTATGAGCAGTATTCTGGTCTTACGGGAATGAGAAAATTTGTTGCCTCATGCAGATATTTCATCCTACAGTTATAAATTTGTGTAAGTTCATCATAACTCGATTTTTGTTGAACACTTGAAAATTTGTTGGCTGTAAATTGTCGATACACTTTCAGGGCATTTTTATCATATTTTTCAGAACGTCATGAGAAAATCAATGAGAACTGCAAATAGAATTGCAAATATAATATTTAATTATTCCCTGAAACTTGATAGAAATCCGGAAATTTTTTTACCAGTGTACATTGTTAAAAATTTTCGTCCGCATTTTCTATACAAAATTCCAGAAATTTTTATCGTGATCAAGTTCCACTGAAATTTTCAGGAAATCTTGTCAGTGAAAAATCAAATATTCTATTAATTTTGTGTTCAAATTAATAAAATAGTTGATTTTTCAGGTCAATTATTCTGTGAAAATTCAGAAAAATAAGGAAAACTTGGGGAAAAATTGAAAATTCATGTCATTTTGTTTCTGAATATTCATGTTCCACTAAAAAATCAATGAAGTTGAGAAATCTCCATTTAACTTCCGCTGAAAACTCATGAATTTCCGTGAATTCTACTTAAAACTTGAAATTTCATAACCATTTTTTCCTAAATCCGATTCAATGTCAAAAGTTTTTGAAAGAAATTCTGTCAGTGTACATTTTTTGTGAAAATTATTGATAGTCGAACCGAACTGATTCCCAAGGAGGGAGAGCAGGTGCAGTTCCCTGGATAAATAAATGGAGATAAATCAGCGAATGGACGAACTTTGATTTTCCCAAAAGAAATTACCCCTCATTTTTCAAAAGAGGAAACCCATTTTTTAATTCACTAATGAAAATAAATTAAACACGTGTTGAAACCCATAAGAAGTAATTGAAAATTGATTGACAGCGAGAGAGTTCCCTCTGAGCGGTCGATCACGATTAATTTACGTCAACAAGTGACGTCCCTGCGGACCCACTCAATTCCGATAGCGCAGGATATCCGGACGTTATCGGCAGCCTCGTGTTGCCCCTGGGGACATCAGCGTCAGTGGGGAAATATAATAAGGAGAGTGCTAGCCATTGCACAATGTGCACAGGTATCGGTGTTCACGTATCACTGCGTTCTCAAGTATTCGATACACAGAGAGAAATTTTTGATAATAATTATCCTACCGCTCTATAAAAGTGTATCATGAGTCATCGTTTCCTCATTTCTATCCCGAAATTTAATAAAAATTAATATATGATGATAAAATTTTATTCAACGTTAGAGAACTTTTATCCTGATACATAATAAATTTCACTCTTCCAGTCCAATAATTTTTATGTAGATAACAACGAAAATTCTAGAACAGTTGGTAAATTTTACCTTAGCGGTACAGTAATTTTTACTCTACCGGCATTGTAATTTTTATTTATATCAGGATAAAATTTCTCCAACGTAGAATAAAATTTGATCATCATGTATTAATTTTTACTAGATTTCGGGATAGAAATGAGGAAACGATGACTCAAGATACACTTTTATAGAACGGTAGGATAATTTTTATCAAAAATTTCTCTCCGTGTAGAAAAAAATTCAATTGAAAAAATTCAATCAAGTTCTGAAATTTTCATCTCACTCCCACTAAAAACTCATGAATTGCCCTCAATTCTACCCAAAACTTGAAATTTCATAACCATTTTCCCCCCGAATCCGATTCAATGTGACTCTCATGAGAAGTACCATCAAATTTTCCGTGAAATTTCAAAAAAATTATAATACTGGATTCAGAGTCAGTGTTTTGGATGCAAAAACATCATTATTCCTTATCCGGGCGCTAGATGCACCGTCTGCCGGGAATTTCAGCTAAAAATATTCAACATACTGGTAGAGACGACTCTTTATTATTAACAAATATATTTGCTTGGAAACTGCGGTCTTTAATCTTACCAAATGGTCATTCGTTAATAATTAACAAGTGCGTATTTGATTAGTCATGATTGACTCGACTTTAACCTTTCACGTGAACCATTCGTTAACTATTAACTAATGGTAGAGTTGAATACGACCAAATAAATATTCCTTAATAGTTAACGAATCTCATTTAGAATAAATGACTTATTTTATTAGTGCTCTAATATCTCAATTCACACCCCGTTCTCCTCAAATAAATCAAATCGTTCTTTTTTGCTCCCCCCGTGAAACCCCTCTCCCAGAAAAAAATGAACACCCTCCTCAGTCATTAGATTTCCGAATGGTCAAGGCCACGGACGCATTCCACACTCACGCACACAGAAAACGCTGTGCAGATTATCTGCACACTTATGCGGACAATCTGCATAGTTATGCGGGATTCCGCCATAAGCCGAAGTCACTCTCTTATGTGCAAATCATGCATAAATAGTGCGTGAATCATGCATAGTTATGCGGATTATCTGCATAACTATGCATGAATTACACATAAGGGCGAAATTTTGATGAGGATACGTCTATGTTTTCGTTATGAGGAGTCGTTTTGTAAAATTGAGCTTACAGGTCTAGATTTTTCTAGAAAATTCAAGGGACTTCAGGGAGTTTCTAGAAATTTCGAGAGAATTCAAGGAGTTCTTAGAAAATTCTAAAATGTTCAAGAAATTTTTAGAAAATCCAAGAAAATGCATGGAGTTTCTAGAAATTTCGAGGGAATCAAGAAATTTCTAGAAAATTCGAGGAAATTCAAAGAGTTTCTAGAAATTTCGTTGGAATTCTAGGAGTTTCTAAAAATTCTGAGGGAATTGAGAAACTTCTACAAATTTCGAGGAAATTCAGGGATTCTTAGAAAATTTTAGAGAATGCAAGGAGTTTTTAGAAATTTCGAGAAAATTTAAGGAGGTTCTAGAAAATTCAAGGAAATGCAAGAAGATTCTAGAAAATTCGAGAAAAATCAGGAAGTTTCTGGAAATTTTAAGTGAATTCAAGGAGTTTCTAGAAACTCTGAAGAAATTCCCGGAATTGCTAAAAAATTGAATAAAATTCTTAGATGTTCTGGAAATTTGAATAAAATTTGAGTTTTCCAAAATAATCCAGGAATTTCTAAAGTTTTAAACAACATTCAGAAAAAAAATTTTAAGGGGAGACCGCGGTGAGATTTGAAAGTCTCGACTCGGCCTCAACAGCCATTGGATGACTTTTGATATATGAAGGGATATATAAAAAAGTGAGAAAAATTTCGGACTCGAACCGTTTTGCCCCGTATATTTACCAAAAACGTCATTTTTCACGTTTTTAGCTTAAAAAGGCTCCTTGGACCACAGTTTTCATCCGATTACAACTTTTTTTTTTAAATGTTCGTTATACTGCAACGAAAAGACTCAAGTATCAGTTTTACTTTATATTTATTAGATGATGAGAAAATGTTTTTTTTACTTTTTATTTTTTTTCCTCTTTTTAGCAAATGCTAAAATTCGTTGTTTTCCCCCATTTTTTTTTGTTATAATATTTCGATTACGTATGATTACAACGTGGAATAACGAAAAACAACTAGTTTTAGCATTTGCTAAAAAGAGGAAAAAAAATAGAAACTAAAAAAATCATTTTCTCATTATCTGATAAATATAAAGCAAAACGGATACTTGGGTTTGTTCGTTGGAGTATAGCAAACATTAAAAAAAAAAGTTGAAATCGGATGAAAACTGTGGTACAAGGGGCATTTCTAAGCTAAAAACGTGAAAAACGACGTTTTTGATGGATATACGAAGAAAATGAATTCTTACTTTTTCAAGTTTCAGCAATGTTCTCATTTAAACCATTAAAATGCAACCTGAGAAATAACTCTCATACCACTCAGGAGAAAAAAATTAGCGAAAAAATCCCCGTAATTGACTTTTTTGACCTTGCGTTTTTATGTGGAACTGCATCAATAGAATATTTTCTATTTAACAATTCAAAAGAACTGTCTAGCAAATTTGCGAGGATTTTCTACTAAATTTTTTCGTGCGTACTTATTTTCTTCAACTTATTTACCTTTTATAGGAGAGGCTGAGACAAACTGAAACCTTAGCTACCCACAGCGTGATGAAGAGTCGAAACTAATACAACAAACAGCGCTCTTTCACTTTCCTCTACTGTTCTATTTTGTCCCATTATCCCCTTAAATTATTGATTTAGAATTTACAATTTTTTCTTGCTTTCTCTATGAAATTCCGAATTGTTAAAGTCGCAATTCGTTAAAGTTTCGGTGAGTACTGGCTTTTTTCTGCGGAACTCTTATGGGCGGAACATGCGTAAATAGTGCAGATAATCTGCAATTGGTTACTAGCAGATTTCATGCATACTTTATGCATATTTCATGCATAACTATGCAGACTTTACACATAGTGGGAGGTTCGCGGAGCTTATGTGTAAAACCTGCATAAGATTGCAGATAATCTGCACAACGTTTTCTGTGTGCGCCTGCACAGGAAGTGCGAGTTGAGCCGTCATGACACGTCCCAATCGATTACAGGATTACTCCTGCTGCCTGCGATGTGTTTGACGACCTCCACCGGGGAAAATTGCTCCATCAGGAGACGACCGGCAGCATTGGCCGAGTATGCCAGGGTGAATTTCAACCCAAGGAGGCAAGAGCGGCCACGACCTTGACCTACGGGGTTGTTCGCGCGCCGGCGTCGCGTCCCTTCTCGCCGTCTCACTCAACTCTGTGGCATTACCAGTTGTGTATATAGGAGAGGCGATGGGTAAGTGAGCTTTCGCTCCCGCGTGCCGGCGAACGCGCTTTCGAAATACGAGAGGTCTGACAAAAAACCCTCAACCCCTCGCCTACCCCTCGCGCCGCTGTTTGTCCCGAGACGCGGCCCGGTGGTGGGGTGCCCGGTTGGATCGCCTGGATCACCGACGCGTCGCGATCCCTCAGTTGACCGCGAGTCCGCGATCGCGGTGGCTGAATATAAATCACTGTATTAATTCGCGATTTATGGTGATCATTTGCGATCTATTTTTCTGAGCTGAGGATAATTGAGGGAAGTGCTGGGATTTTTGCTCCTGTGTTTTGTGGGGTCTCTTGGGGGCCATGAGGCTTTGGATTCAGACATGCAGGTCAGTGTGGGGTCAATTAATTTTGAAGATCAATTCAGTAGCGAAGTGGTGAACCGGTTTGAGTGGACTTATCTCCCAGTTTTTGAGGAATATTTCCGAATCTGACGGAGATAGCGAAATTTTCGTCACCATATTTGTTACAGCTCTCAATCGGCTCTACAAAAAAGGTTTTAACGAAAATTTTGCTATCTCCCTTAGATTCCGAGATATTTATTAAAAACGGGTCAATAGCCAAAATTGACTTATACCGTTTTACCACTTCGCTGCTGAATTTATTTTGGGGATGGTTGAAACTTTTTGTTTAAAATTTGTGGCTAAAATTTTTAGCACATTTTAATTCCACTGAAATGTCAAGGAATTTCATCATTAAAAATTCAGTATTACATGGAACAATCAATGAGAACCGCGAAATTCTGGTCAATTATTCCCGGAAAATTAGTAGAAATCAGGAAAATTCTGGTAAATGAATTTTTCAATTTTCAATCAATAGAAAATTTTGTTTAATTTGGTACTGAGTATTCATGTTTTTATTAAAAATTAAAATAAGTTGGAGAATTCTCCTCTCAATGCTGCCCAAAAATGTAAAATTTCATTGAAATTTCAGAAGAATCTGAAATTTCATGATCCCCTCCCCGCCCCTCAGTTGCATTCAGTGCCACTCTCCTGATAATTAGTAGTCGATTCTTTGAAATTTCAATTTTTTTTAACAGTGTAGCGCTTATAGATTAAAAAAAGTTCAGACGTCGAATTTAATGATTAAATTACGTGAAGAAAATTGAAAAAAATTGATGAATAATCAACATCATTAAAATCTGTATTAATTTTTTGTACTCATTTTTTATGATTCCAAAAAAACGATCGTCAGAGTGAAAAGATTGATTGATTATCAATCGTTCCGGAAAAAGATCGTAATTCTCAAAAATGAAAATTTTACAACTATTGTATGACTCCTCCTTCAAAAGTAAACTTTTCATTTTGTTCAGATTTTTTTCATGATTTTTAAGGATTCATTTATCGATTTTAGTTGAAAAAAACCTTGACTTCAGGAAATGTCATCAGTTGTAGACAAGGTTCCATGAAAATTTGTCCTAGCAGCACTCGCTCCCAAATTCACATCAACAATTGAAATTATTTTTCATTTTATTAATGATTGTTACCGCCGGAACAAATACAATAGCAATGCGAATTTCAATCATTAGTACAATGAGAACAAAGAGGACCGAAATAATGAGCATGTATTGAATAAATGAGTTTCTATTGTGCGAAACGGAATGAACGCAAAAAATGGATGCAATACGGAATTTCAAAATTACAAATTGTATTGAATTCAGGGCTTCTGAGCGCTTTGGCTATTTTCCACTGTAATATTATTATTTCAAAAATTAGAGGTTAAAACTTGATACTCCATCCTTAACCCTCCAGAAAAAAAATTGAAAGTATGAAAAAAATGGAAAGTCAGTGCTCCGAAAAAAATCTATAAAATAATTTAAAAAATTACGATTTCTGAAAATCATGACCGTTTTATTTGAATGATTTATAAACAATCAATTCCTTTTTAGAAAATTTACATTATTTGTTTAAAAGAAGTGAATCTGGAATTTTTTGCAAGATGTAATTTAGATGGTGCTAATTATCCATAAATTTTTTCAAATGTTTCGCATGAAATGGAACAGAGAATGTGGTAAAACAGACCGTCGTTAATGGTCAATAATTCAAGAATGGAGACCAGCAAATTTCTCGAACAGTGAGATATGTAAATTTTTAATTAATTGCAAATTCAAGAATACATTTACCTAAGCTGTCTTGATTTCTATTGATTTTCATAGAATGACAGATCTGAAATTAACAGTTTCATCAAATAGGTATTGTTAATTACGAAATTCCTTAAAATTTTAATTGCGCCGTCATTTGATAAAAATTTGTAAGAAATGTACTTAAATTTGCAATTTGCCCAAAATTTTTAACAGTGTAGTTCCCTAGAAATTAAATTTTTAGATCCGATCAATTAGCCCCTCATGTATAGATATTCCAAATTTTTATTTTTTTCCTCATTGAAGTAGTTTTGAAGAAAATTGCGAGCTAATAAAAAACATTTGCTAGTTAGTACTTTTTTTAAAATAAATTTTTTAAAAATCACCTCTGAAAAAAAAGGCGTTATCTTCTCTATTTCATTATTTCCAAAAAATTTTATCACCAATCGATAGCAAATTGTTTGAAGATTTTTGCGAGTTAAGAAAAAATTGTCAATGCAATCCTATTATTGTGTAAATTAACAATTCCAATTTCAACTGAAAACCAGAGTTGATGACAGAGTTTGTAACAGAGATGTCAGACAAGATATGAATGTTTCTTTGGGTCAAATGAAAGAGCGGCTCGAAAAATGGCGTGCAGAAGTCTTTAAAGATGACAAATGTCTCTAAAGATGATGTCTGTTTTCAATTGAGAAGCGCAATTGTGACAACATTGTCCACTGGGGTCTAAGAGTCTCCCCTGGTTCAAAACCATCTTTAGAGGCCCTAGCACGCCATTTCTCGACCCGCTCTTTCATTTGAGCCCAAAAAAACATTCATATCTTGTCTGACATCGCTGCTACAAACTCGGGTCTACAACTCGGGCCTTCAATTGAAAGCCCGAGTTGAAGACCCGAGTTTGTAGCAAAGATGTCAGACAAGATATGAATGTTTTTTTTGGCTCAAATGAAAGAGCGGCTCGAAAAATGGCGTGCAGAAGTCTTTAAAGATGACAAATGTCTCTAAAGATGATGTCTGTTTTCAATTGAAAAGCGCAATTGTGACAACATTGTCCAGTGGGGTCTAGGAGTCTCCCCTGGTTCAAAACCATCTTTAGAGGCCCTAGCACGCCATTTCTCGACCCGCTCTTTCATTTGAGCCCAAAAAAACATTCATATCTTGTCTGACATCGCTGCTACAAACTCGGGTCTACAACTCGGGCCTTCAATTGAAAGCCCGAGTTGAAAACCCGAGTTTGTAGCAAAGATGTCAGACAAGATATGAATGTTTTTTTGGGCTCAAACGAAAGAGCGGGTCGAGAAATGGCGTGCTAGGACCTCTAAAGATGGTTTTGAACCAGGGGAGACTCCTAGACCCCAATTTTCTATACATACTCCTAGACCCCATTGTCCTCCTAGACAATGTTGTCACAATTCTGCTTTTTAATTGAAAACAGATATCATCTTTAGAGACATTTGTCATGTTTAGAGGCTCTAGCACGTCATTTCTCAACCCGCTCTTTCGTTTGAGCCAAAAAAAACATTCATATCTTGTCTGACATGACTTGGTTGGCTTCCGGAAGGATGCCGCGTTGAGTTTCAGCATTGCGCCGACGTTTCGCAAACATTGCAGTCTGCATCTTCAGGGCTATGAGCTCCGATTCTGTCTTAAGAGTATACTTGAAATATCCGCTAAAATTTTTTAACAGTGTAGTTCCCTAAAAATTAAAACTTTTTTCATCACGCTGTGACAAAAAGTGAACTTTTCGGCACGCTCCGCGTGCCTAAAAGTCCAATTTCCGCCACATTGTGATGAAAAATATTGTTCGTAACTCGTGAAAAAATGTTTTTTAGCTCGTGGGATTATATCACTCGCCTTCGGCTCGTGATATAAACCTCCCACTCGCCAAAAAACACTTTTTTGCACTCGTTACGAAATATACTATTTCCTCACTCTGTTCCCTCTGGAGATGAGTCCTTCAAACTTTGCAAGCCCTCAACGTACCATGCATTTCATTTTACCCCAGACCTTTATCCAAGTTTATACCTAACCAGGGAATTATATTTATCCACATCATCCGTCACCCACTCCCAGGAGCATCCATCCCCGTGAAAGTGTTGAACCGGGTACAATTCCGCAGTGACCAATGGTGTATGTTTACCCCGGCGTTAAATTGAACCAGTCACCCTTCCCTGACATCTTCGAGTTATGGATCACCGGGATAATGCGCTCACGGTCGGCAAGGAGGTGATAATAAAATTGCCATTTAAATTTTATAAGGCAGTAGTTTTAACCGTAAAGGGCAGACTCAAGTATAGTAATAAAGAGTGCAATCGATAATAATCCCAGGAGCTGAGTGGCTTTTTCATCAATTTCTATCGCGTGTCGAGTTGTCGTTTGTCAGGAAATGATGGAGAAATCAATATGTATGAGCATCTCATGAGTAATTCTTCCTTTGCGCGCGATTGTAACGTCTTAGTACAGCTGTTTAAGACATGGTGATTAAATCGAAATTCTGAGGTTTTACTTTCGAAGGGAAGCACTGTATTCGTCAAAATAATTGTTTGAATGAATCCAATTGTGAGTTAAAATATTCCTCTTAATGCCATTTTGACCGCGTACGATCATGAGATTAATTGCATCATGTGGAATTTTAACGTTGGGGTAATGTTGACTGTCAACGTTGGGGCAATGTTGACTGTCAACGTTGGGGCAATGTTGACTGTCAGCTTTGAGGCAATGTTGGCTACTAAAGGTGGAGTAATACCAACGTTGTCTACCAACGTTGGAGCAATATTGGCGGCCAATATTGGGGTAATGTTGGTCGTCAACATTGAGGCAATGTTGGTGGTCAACATTGAGGCAATGTTGGTGGTCAACATTGAGGCAATGTTGACTACCAACGTTGGGGTAATGTTAGCTGTCAACTTTGAGGCGATGTTGGCTGCCAACGTTGGGGTAATGTTGGCTATCAATGCTAGGGCAATGCTGAATTCAATGAATCATTGAATTCAATTTAAAATACGTCATCACAGAAATTTCATTCGTCAACAAATTGCTAATTTATTAGAAAGAATATATTGTCCATGTCGTAACAAAAGCCATTTCCCACTTATTTTGGATTTACGAAACCCGCGTTGTCGTTCATATTTCATCCACTCGTCTAATTCCTCGTTTCTTATCTGATTGAATTATTTTCATGCGTATTATAGCAGTAATGCCCCCGCATATTCTTATAATTAATTAATTAAAGAAGTAATTTAACCTGCG